AGCCCCTCCATGTTTTCCTAAGCTCCTAGGACCCCACCCACATCCCCCTTCCCTGCATGTGTCCAGTGACCCGTGGGGCAGCTGGTTGCTGGGCCATTTCCCTCAGACATTTCCCAGGGCAGGGTGGGGGTCCGTCCCTCAGCTCTCCCACCTTGGACTGGCCCACACCATACCAAGTTGCTCTCCAGAGCACTGTAAAGGTCATCCTGCCCCAGAGGCAGGGATGGGTTTCCTGAGAGCTGAAGCTGGGCTCTGGTCCTGCTTGCCTTTCTCATGCTCAGCGCAGCTCAGTCCAGTCCCCCAGAACAGCCAGGACCCCCCCAGAGGGCCCAGCTGATGCCAGGCACTAAGGTGAGTCCTGGATGCCAGAGGTCCCGCTTGGGCCCTGAGGGAAGGTGGCACTGAAGTTTAGACTCAGGGAAAGGCTGGCACTGCCCAGTCAGTAGCAGAGTCAGCTCCCCGCCCACCTGCCCACCCCGGCTGCAGGCAGAGGCACAGACGCAGCCTGGAGCAGGGAGGGGCCGTCACCCAGGGGAGCTCTGCTGAGTTCTGTCAGCTGTCAGGCTGGTGGCTTGGAGAGGTGGGTCTGCTGCGCCCTTGCAGTGACGGGTGTGGGGGACAAGGGGGGCTGAGGCCTCTGTGCAGGACCTGACAAGGCCAGGTCACCATGTGTAGCAGGGCGGGTGAGTGCCCCTGGCCGGAGCCCCTGGCTGTGGTGACCGCAGTGTGTGTTGGGGTGTCCTGCATGCCTGCCTCATCCCTGGTTGCCCCTGCATGCAGCTGGTTAACGCATGCCCTGCCTCACTGCCCACAGGGCCTTGGCTGCCCCTGCCTGGCACCACTAACCCCTCCGTGCCTACGTCTGTCTCTGCCCCTTCCTGCCCCTCTGCTGTCGGCTCCTCCTGTCCTCTCAGCAGGCTCTCAGCTTCCCGGCCCCCCCCTCCAGGCCGCTGCCGCCTGACCCTGTGCCCAAGAGACTCCAGGTAAATCTGGTCCGGGCCCCGCCCTGGCCTAGGACAGGGGGTAAGCTTGGTGCCCAACCGCGTTCTCATCCCTGCTCCCTGCCAGTGGTGATCGTCCTTAGGTGAACCAGGGTGCCCCTCAGTCTTGCGACAGCCCCAGAAGCAGCAAAGGGTGAGCCTCCTGCCTTGGTCCGCTCGAACCGCCCCTTCCCGGCCAGGCGTCTGCCGGCGCGCGCCTCGGCCCCTGTGCATGCCCACTCTCACCTGCCGCCTGGCTGATTCTGCACGCCACCAACCTCTTCGGGGAGCCTCTGCACGCCCGAGGCCCCTGGCTGTTCTCTCACTGTCACTGCCCCTCTCTCTGTCCAGGCTGAGCTGGCTGACCGGCCCAATCCCCCCACCCGCCCTCTGCCCGCTGACCCGGCGGTGAGGCGCCCGAAGGTAACAGTGGGGAGAGAAGGGCATGGCCTCTCCCCCACCTAGGGCTGTGGTGCTGGCGCCGTGGCGAGAGGCCCGCTCAGTGCCTGGGAGCACTTAAACCGGTGGCGCCTTTAATGGTGTGACAGGTTTGTTTGGAGACCAGGTACACCCTGGTGCCGCCCCCAGGCCGGTGCTCCCCAGCGCCAGCGCATCGGGGGTGGCACCGTAACGTCTCCCCGAGCTGGCTCCTCCTTCTCTCCCTCAGTCTCAGGGACCCGCCAAGCCCCCGCCCCCGCGG